AACCAGGCATCCAATGGCATGGCCCGATTCCCCTTTAAACACTGCTAGCGTCTGATGGCAGGGATCTGTTAAAGCATTCCTCCGCAAACCTTCGTGCAGCACCCTGCTGCTTCCACTCTTCCTGTCATCCCACCATCTCGTCTGTTTTCATTTGCGCTTTGATTACGTTCTTCCCTATTGTCGCAACCCGCTGCTATATCTCTTAAGTCTTAGAGCCACACCATCCACTCTTCCTTCGTTCTCTGGTTCTTGCCCACCACCCAGCTGTGCAGTATCTCCAGTCAAATTATAGAACTATGTAACTGTTAATAAAACGCCTCTGCGTACAGGAAACTGATGCCACAAAGCAAGTCGGCACCACTGGCATTGCGTCTATGTGCATTTGTGCACCCACTACGTTCTGTGTGAAGCTAAGACAAAATCCTCCAAATCTTGAAGGGGAGCAGGCTGGGGTTTGATTAAGGACATGCCACCTCATTCTTAGATGTTCTCAGCAAATTCATTCAACTAATTTACCTGTCTAAATTTATACTGGTGAGGAGTTGAATGATCTTTACACTGTTCCCCAAGCTTTATATTGATCTTTATTTTATATACATCTCTGTACAGTATATTGCATGTTCATTTTGTTAGAATTTTTGTATATAATTTTAATATATACTACCATTAAAGGTGACATATCATGAAAATCTAACTTTTCCAGGTTTTAAGTGCTATAATCGGGTCCCCGGTGCATCTACCAACCAAGGAAACGTGAAAAAGATTAACCCAGTAACTTTGTTTTGGTAAACCTTTTTCTGCAAGTGTGAGAAAATGAGAGCGTCTGATTTCGCTCCCTTGGTGACATTGCAAAGGGATCTCATTATAATATTACCGCCCCTTAATCTGCAATGCCGAGTTCACACTGCACGATTTTCAAAGACGTTGCATCACTGTTGGTTTCACACTGAACGACTATCTGGGGTAGCATTCAGTTGTTGCCGTGTTCACACTGCACGATGGAACGACGACAGGAGGTTACACACTGTATGACTTTACAATTGGAAGAATCGCCGACAGCTCTGTCTGGTGCAGGGTTGCCAGGTTTTCGCTACAAAACCCGCCCAATTACTACACAAAACTAACCTGAAAATAGCCCAATTGCTTTCGAGGGGGTCCCCCAGTAAAAATCGCGTTCCAGGGTAAAATACAAATTTTTTTTGGCGGGGTTCTCCTAGTAGGCTACAATTCACATTCCAGGGCCTAAATATCACGTTATTGGGGTCACGTCAACCTGCTGACATAAAAAACAACCGGCGGCAATCGCGGATTTGGCAACACTGGTCCACAAACTACAACTCCTCCCCAAACTTCCCTCTGTATCTTGGTCTCTCATTGGCTGTAGGTCATCGCTGATGTGTTTTTCAGTCAGAACTCATTTGACACAGCGTGATTGTGAATCGCCGACAGCTCCAGATATTTAGCATGCCAAATATTTTACAGGTGACGTGTCGGCGATTCGCTCAGATCGCATCTTTGATGATTGTCACTCGCGTGAACGAGCACCGATTTGCCTCCGATTTCGGGCGTTTGTCGTGATTTTGCAAAACCTGTCGGCGAGTGAAAAATCGGGCTAAAATCGTGCAGTGTGAACTCGGCATAAGTTTACACCCATGCATTCTGGGGACACCAGAGACTTATATTACATATTGTAAAAAGGGGCATAATATGTCTCTTTTAAGTAAGACTTTGGGGTCAGTAACTTTTTTTTTTTTTTTTTTGTATTAATACTTTAATATTCATCAAGGATGCATTCAGTAGATCGAAAGTAACAGTAAAGACATTTGAACAATGTACAGAAGCTTTCCATTTCAAATAAATGCCGTAGAACTTTCAATTAGACGAAAAAGTCCTGGTGAAAAAAATCACTACTTCCACAAAAAAATATTAAGCAGCGCAAATGTTTTCATCATTAATCATGAGAAATATTTATTGTGCAGCAAATCAGCATATTAGATTGATTTCTGAAGGATCTTGTGACACTGAAGAGGAGTTATGGCTGCTAAAAATTCAGCTTTGCCATCACAGGAATATTGCTTTTTAAAATGCATTCCAATGCTATATTGCAATAATATTTCACAGTATTAATGTTACTGTATATTTGAATAAATGCTGCTGCCTTGAGCATAAGAGACTTCTTTCAAACACATTAGAAATCTTCCTCAACACCAGAGACTTATATTACATATTGTAAAAAGGGGCATAATATGTCTCTTTTAAGTAAGACTTTGGGGTCAGTAACTTTTTTTTTTTTTTTTTGTATTAATACTTTAATATTCATCAAGGATGCATTCAGTAGATCGAAAGTAACAGTAAAGACATTTGAACAATGTACAGAAGCTTTCCATTTCAAATAAATGCCGTAGAACTTTCAATTAGACGAAAAAGTCCTGGTGAAAAAAATCACTACTTCCACAAAAAAATATTAAGCAGCGCAAATGTTTTCATCATTAATCATGAGAAATATTTATTGTGCAGCAAATCAGCATATTAGATTGATTTCTGAAGGATCTTGTGACACTGAAGAGGAGTTATGGCTGCTAAAAATTCAGCTTTGCCATCACAGGAATATTGCTTTTTAAAATGCATTCCAATGATATATTGCAATAATATTTCACAGTATTAATGTTACTGTATATTTGAATAAATGCTGCTGCCTTGAGCATAAGAGACTTCTTTCAAACACATTAGAAATCTTCCTCAACCTAAACTAAATAATAATAATAAACTGCAATATGCGTTACTTTTAATGATTTCATTATATATTATCATATGCCTATATATAAATCAGTATGCATTAATAGAATCACAGCCAAGCAGAATATATTGGTTGATTCAGTTCTATTATAAAGCATTTTTACCTTGAAACAAACACATGCAAATACTCGTTATTGGAAACATGTTCCATCATCCTTGGTGAACACAGTATTAGTAATCTCTAACTTAGTGTGTTGTCACTGAGCTCTTTCTTTTGACTAGTGGGAGCCTCACAATCACAAATCCGCTGTGGAAAGCTGCATGGTGATCTCATAGAAGCCCAGAGAGAACTCTTGGGTTTGGGAGGGATAAATTGTGCCATTGAGCTCTCCCTCACGCTCATCTCTTTCCCTTTCGCACTTCTGATGTCCTGTTGCGCAGTAGCTACAAGCTTTCTGATTATCCTCTGTATGGTTGGTCCGTGAGAAGCCTCAAGTCTACTGCAGCGCTCACTTGACAAAAGAGGAAGCAGGTGTTGCAGTAGATGGAGGTCTCCACTCGTGTCGACCTCTCCAAGCACAGTTGCTCCTCTGGCATTAGTCTGCATTTGTTTGTCTATTACTCTGTTAGTGCCACATGAGATCCTTTTAGGAGGAGCAGCTTTTTATGTGACTCACAGCCAGTAAACACAGCTTGCTTATGAATTTGCTACAGGTGGTTAGTTTAAATGGTTTCTCAAAAAGGGGTAAAGGCAGAAATATTCAACACCATTCAGATGTTTGGGGTTGGCAAGACTTTTTATAATGTTTTTGAAGGAAGTATCTAATGCTCACCAAGGCTGCATGTATTTAATCCAAAATATAATAAAACAGTAATCCGGTGAAATATTACCATTTAAGTGAACTCTTTTCTATTTTAACATATGTGACCTTGGACCACAAAACTTGAAATTGAGATTTATACATCATCTGAAAGCTAATAAATAAGCTTTCCATTGATGTATGGTTTGTTAGGATAGGAAAATATTTGGCCGAGACACAACTATTTGAAAATCTGGAATCTGAGGGTGCAAAAAATCTAAATATTGAGAAAATTGCCTTTAAAGTTGTCCAAATGAAGTTCTTAGCAATGCATATTACTAATCGAAAATACCGTGTTAATATCTTTACAGTAGGAAGTTTACAAAATATCTTGATGGAACATGATCTTTACTTAATATCCTAATGATTTTTGGCATAAAAGAAAAATCTATAATTTTTACCCATACAATGTATTTTTGGCCATTGCTACAAATATACCCAGCGACTTAAGACTGGTTTTGTGGTGCAGGGTCACATATTTTAAAATGTAATTTATTTCAGAAGCCATTACTCCAGTCTTCAGTGTCACATGATCTGTCTGAAATCATTCTAATATGCTCATTTGGTGTTCAAGAAACATTTCTTATTATTAATATTGTAAACAGTTGTGCTTTTTAATATTTTTGTGGAAACCATGATGCATTGTTTAAGGTTTCTTTGAAGTTCAAAAGAACAGCATTTATTTGAGAAACTTTATAACATTATAAATGTCTTCATTGTCACTTTTGATTAAGTTAATGTATGAATGAAAGTATTAATTTCTTTTTAGGTCTTACTTGACCCCAAACGTTTGAGCAGTGGTGTACTGTACATTTATAGAATTTATTTGATATGCCTGGTGCAAGTAATGTTGTGCTTTCAGATTAGAAATGAATGTAAGAACCTTTTCTTCAGCTATTAATTGGAAGTGTTAGTCATAAAGTGTAAGCTTGTTTTGATCTTCTTTATGGCAGTGTTTGTAATTTTGTGCTCTTGGCACAGTGAAGAAGATTTATTTTGTATTAGTGTGTTGGCACTAGCGTTTATTTTCTCTCACCTTCTTTTTCTCCATTTTGTAATGTCTTAATTTTCTTAGCATGCTCTCAAATCTTCACTTAACAATTTTATGAAATTTAAATTGATACTTGCCAGTGTGTCTGTATTTTATTCTAATCTCTCTCTCTCTCTCGGTTTCTTTCCTCAGCTGTCGATAAAGTGCAGAGCGCCGGAGGTGTCTCAGTTTGTGTTCCAGTGCTATGAGTTGGTGCTGAAGAACTGAAGTGGCGGGAAACCAACAGGAAACTGCAGTTCCCAGGCATCGTTTGGGTGACTGAAACTTGATTGGACCAGTCAGAGAAAGAACCCCTGCTGTCTTGCATTTCCCTCAGACTGTGCTTTCTGCATTGACTGAATCCCAAGGAATTTTTCTTCATTATTTTGTCCATTCCCAACACCCTTCTTTATCCCGCCTGTTTCCATCCTGCAGTCTTTAAAATATTAGTTACAGTAAAATACGACACACAAAATATAAAGATATCATCTTTAATTCACATATGTGCAGGTGTTCTACTCAGCAAATTTCATTCCTGTACTACATGATTGCTTCACTGTTTATCCTGGGTGATTGTTTTGCCCCTCATGGAGGTCAAGCATCATACACCGATGATCAAGAGTTTTAGACCAGCCTGTATTCCTCATCCATCCAGTTGTAGGAAGGGTGTGTTTACCACAGTTGAGAGAAACCTTTCAACACTGCTGTTTTTAATTTAGTCTTAATAATCAGACAATGGGTCGCTGGGTTTGTATTCACACAAACAGTTCAAATCTTTATTTATTTTTTGTTCTGTTTTATTAGAGGTCTCCCTGGTCATTCCTCAGTAATTTAGGTCTCCCGCTATATCTTTTAAGGGAATGCTGTGTGTTTATCCAGAAGCACTACACAATTGCGGAGGTAAACTTTTTCTGTGTCTTCAAAATATCTCTGTATTTGGTGATGACTAAGTTTGCAGTCATGTTTTGCTATTAAGCTGGCTTTATTTTTAGTTACTACTGTCTTTTGTGTGCTGTGTTATCAGCTGTGTGTGTGTGTGCGAGTTGGAGATGTAACATGCTGCATGCTCGGTTCCTCCTCCTGGCAATATTCCCTGTCCTCCCTTATTCCCCTGAATGACTATGTACATGCCCATATATTTGGGTGGGTTGTTAATTTAGTGTGTGTGTGTGTGTGTGTGTGTGTGTGTGTGTGTGTGTTAGTTAAAATGTTGGATCTGTGAGGGAGACTTGACTCCTAATAAGATCATCCTGCAGAAAGTGATATTCTTTATGGTATGAATATGTCTTAAATCACACTGAATGCGATGCACATGAAGTCTCCTGCTTTGCAAAACAACTTGTTCACTGAGAGGGAGAAAATGTATCATTTTAGACGTGGACTGCAGAGAGGACAAAAACCCAGAGCAATTCATCTTTCTTTTAGTTGTAAATCAAATTGGACGACTTGGATGAATGTATTTCATGTTAGTAATCCAGATATCATTGGAGAAGATCACAGTCTGTTTTGCCCAGCACTTCTATTATCCAAATGAGACTGGAGAAATGAAAAGCTCTGGACTAGAGACACTGTAACTATTCCTGCAGATGACCATTAAATCTGAAAAGCAGAAGTTAGTAACAACGTTACCTGTTTTGTGTCTAGATCCATGCATGCTTCTAGTGAACGTTGGTGAATTTGTGAGATCTTGAGAAGTGGTTTTTGAGACTCTTGAGGATGGATGGAGCGGGTTTCTCTGGCTAGTGAGCGAGGAGCGGCGATTGAAAACCCCGGAATGGCATGGAAGCGTATGTGATGGGAATGGGAATAGTGATGATGGAATGGGAAATCTCTTCCAATCAAATAAGCGATTCCAGACCTTTCCAGGCTTTCGTTTATCTTTTCTTTTGGCGGATAAGAAATATACGAATTAACTCGACTATGGTAACTTAAATTTCTTCTTTGAAACTTTATTTACTCGATATCTTGTACTTTCATTTTATGCATCATAAACAGTGCATCAGTGTCGTGCTAAATATCAATACTTTTCGTTTGTTTATGAAGCTGTTTGAGCTAGACAGTCGACGACAGCTACCTTATATTTTCACCTTGTATTCCTCCAATAATGCAAGTCATTCCTGAGGGACCTTTTTGAGCTGTTTATGGCCAGTAAACCGCGCAAGCCTTATAAAACAGCCATGCATCCGCGTCAAGCTGAACCACATGAGTGCGCGCGGAGGAGCAGCGCTTAGAACCGCACAGCAAGGACTGGAGACTGCTTCACGTGTAGCTTCAACGACAACGAGAGGTCTGTGCGGATACGGTCCACCTACAATCTTACGGAGTAACGATGGACCTTTGCGCAGGCTGCATTTGGCGTTCGGCGAGGTGCACGGTGAAGCGAGCGCGCAGCACGCACTGCTGAGATGATGATAATGATGATGAGGGAAGCTATGAGAGGTTGCGAGGAGAAAGGGTCAACGGTAACCTCGAGATCGAAGCGCACACACGTTATGCTGAGAGCTGCCAAATGGATGCTGCTGGAAAATGACGGGTTTTGAGCTCCAGAGCTGTGTGTGTAGGAATACCGTGGGCTGACTGTGGAGCGTTGAGGACTGTTCCCCAATGGAATGCAGAAAAGACCGCAGTGAATGAAGTTGGTTGGTTTGTTGATGCACTCATTAACGCGTGATACTAACAGTACACTTAACCAAAAGAGATCGCGAAATGCATCAGAAGCATCAATGCATCTTATTTATTTGAGCATCCGCGAAGTGCGTTCTCATCGGCGGGGGCGATTTAAGCACAAAAAGGCGCACGCTCACAATTCACCTTATTGTTTTGATTTGTTGAGCAGTTTTCCAGGCGTCTTCTTGGTCGCTAGTGTTCGTCAGCAGTCCTGATCGGCGCGGGATGGTGGAGACGCTGAGCATCGCTGTCATCGGAGCGCCTGGAGTCGGGAAAACTTCTATCATCCGTCAGTTTATTTACAGTGACTTCTCCGAGACGTACACCCCCACCCAAACGCGATACGTGTACAGACCCTCGGTCATTCTTAACGGTGTTATGTACGATCTGAAGATTTTGGATGTCCCGCCAATATCCTCCTTTCCTTCAAGCCCAAGTCAGGTAACCCAGGCTACAGTAAAGCGCGCATGCATGTCGTTTGTGTGATAATGCATCAGAATACAACAGACGATGACATAAAAACAATGCAGTAAACGTTCAATTAAAGCCCATACAATGTAGGAGAAATGCCCTAATGCATATAAGAGATAATAAAGAAATAGCCTAAGTGAAATATTTTGCTGTAAAAGTAGGCTACATGTTGTTGAATAAGTTACATGGTAATTTTAAACATTTTCATACCCAAAACAAATACATATTTACAGTATTTAGCCTACTATAATACCATTTGGTTACGCTTTACTTGAAGGGGTGTGCATAAGACTGACATGACACATGAATATGAAGGTTTTTTATGCATGTTTATGACAACTGTCATTAAGTGTCATTCGCTCAGTTATGTCATTTTTAATGCAAAGATGACATTGTTTGAGATATCTTTGTTATGGGCTATGGTTAGGGTTAGGGTTAGGTCAAATAATGTCATATTTGCATTAAAAATGACATAACTGAGCGAATGACACTTAATGACAGTTGTCATAAACATGCATAAAACCTCCTTTCATGTCATGATTATGAAGGTGTCTTGTCAGTCTTATGCACACCCCTTCAAGTAAAGTGTTACCATACATTTTTCAATGACTATGGTCTTGTTCTTTCTTTCGGGATCAAAATCAGTATAAATGTGGGAAATGTACTGTATGTTTTAAGGCACAGTGAACATTTTTCATTAACATTTAAAGGAAAATGCTACAAAACGGCTTGCTCTGAAAAGAGCTGTTTTTGACAGGGTAAAAAGGTGTTTTTTACACTACCATTGAGAAATTTTAACCAAACTATGTTACAGACTTTTTATTAAGACCCTAAAGAATCAGATCAACTAGTGGAAAATGGGCATCCTATGACCCCTTTAAGAAAGCGGCATAGCTACATATGTTGTTAGAAATGTCTCTACAGCATCCCCGGGTGTTCTTGCATCACATGAGTTTTCTGTCGAAACCACCGCCATATTCTGTCAGTCAACTGCTACATGAAATACTTGCAGTGTATTGCTCAGAGATCTACCTCTGTCACAGGTTTAGTTTTAGTTAGTAATCAACTTTCTGTAATATTCACACAAACACAAAATATTTATTAACTGTTTCATGTGTGTTTCACTGGAGCAGAAAATCAACTCTGCAGAAGGGTAGCTTTTATAACAAGGTAAAGAATTACATTAGATTTAAATGCATTCATTTAGCAGACATTTGATTTAATCAAAGCCATTTATACATCAGATTAATTATAAATCCAAGAAGTGCTACTATGCCAGAGTAGCACAATGCTAGATCCTCACAAATCCAGACAAATAATTTCAGCTCACCTCCTAATACACTCAGAGCATTTGCATGCAAGACAGGGCCAAGCAGAGATCTGCGGTCTCCTCAAACGGCTGCAAACCCTTAGAACACTACCTTGCAAGGAATGAAATATAATTCACTTTTGACCTTTTTAAGATTTAAGGCTGGGGTGTGTCTTACCATATTATTTGAATGTCTTATCTTATGAACACACTGGTTTGTGGTCTGCACTTTGTAATGCTTCTCATTATTTCCCTACAGCGGCTAATAAACCGGAAGTCTCACACATTCACAGAAAACATCTTACTTCCGCATTGAAAAATAAGGTGGATATCTCTGTACACTGGAATGCATAATGCAATAGTATCGCTCAGCTCCTGCTGATATTCGTCGTATATAGACAACTGTGAATGATAATCTTTGACTGCTTGGCAACTTTGGTGACTGAATGTCGCAGTTTGTTCACATGATGCCATGGCAGATGGAGCAGATCAAAAGCCAGCATGATTCAGGATTTCCTGTTACTGCCAGCCTCTCTTTCTCGCTCTTGTTCTCTCTCAATTATGACAACAGAGGGCTCAGTGACACGTTCCCCCGCGTCATGTAATGGTCCTCAGAATGTGATAGAATTCACTTTGAGCCATGCACTTCTCCTGAACTGTTTCTCACCACTAGCTGAGGAGAAAATGTGCTTGTGGCAGATTTTGGTTGTTCTTTTAGCCAGTGAAATTGAGGAATATTAACTTGGGTTTTGTTTTTCCTGCTCTGTGCTCTGACACGACTGACTTTCAGTGGCTGTAGGGTCTCTTCTCATTCAGCACTGCTTTGCCACGCAATGCTTTTGCCAATGTCACACTGCTAGCTCTTGACTCTTGCATTCTTTTCCTCTTATTCTATGGCACTCATTTTTTCTTTCAACTACTCTGTCTCTTTCAATCCTTTGAATAAGGGCGATTTGTTATGTGAAGGATCATTTTGTTACTTACAAAATAAACGGATCAATCTCTCACTCTTGTCAGTGTTTAAACTGCAAAAGTGATTATGGTCTAACCAGTGGAGATTCACACAGATTTTCTACATTCACTCACTCATGCACAGCTTTAACAGCTTTTTAAACCCTCTTTTAATGTAAAACAAAAAAACATTGCTTAAAATTGGAATGAAATATTCCTGTGAGTGACCCTTCTCAAGCTTTTGAGACAATATTAAATTCATCTGCCTTTAAAAAAAAATGCCGTTCAGAACTGGGCTGTCTCGAGGACAGATGTTCTCATTATTATTTTTTTCACGCCTGAAAAGTGTAATCTCTAATTTAGGATGCATTGTCATACATCACATTGTCAGCGGGAAGTAAAAAGAAACCAACACAATAATTCTAGCTGTACACCTTAGCATACAATTAAGAAATATAATTTAGTAATTATACCATCAATTATCAGGGACTGAGCTAGAAATAAAGATAATGATGATAATGAACAAGCAGTTTAGTTCCCTGGCATGTAATGATTTCACTGAGACATGCAGTTATTTGCAGCTTTTCTGGATTATTTCCACATCTACATTTGGCAGCTCTGCCACCTGACTGTTTTATAGATGAATGAATGTTGTGTTGAAAGAATGATTTAGTTTAGCCTCCAGTCATGAATAAACAAGTGGCTTAGAGAGAAAGATTCAGCAGTATTATGTAAAAAAAAAAAGAATGCATTAGGTATTGTATTAGAAGACAGAAAGCATTTTGGTGTACTCCTTTATTTAAACTTTTTTTTATATATATGTGACCCTGGACCACAAAACCTTCTTAAGTCGCTGGGGTATATTTGTAGCAATCGCCAAAAATACATTGTATGGGTCAAAATTATAGATTTTTCTTTTATGCCAAAAATCATTAGGATATTAAGTAAAGATCATGTTCCATTTTGATTAGTAATATGCATTGCTAAGAACTTCATTTGGACAACTTTAAAGGCCATTTTCTCAATATTTAGATTTTTTTGCACCCTCAGATTCCAGATTTTCAAATAGTTGTATCTCGGCCAAATATTGTCCTATCCTACAAACCATACATCAATGGAAAGCTTATTTATTCAGATTTCAGATGTTGTATAAACCTCCATTTCTGGTTTTGTGGTCCTGGGTCACATATTTGTATGATATTTCTTGTATGATAATGTATAATTTATAATATATATATATATATATATATATATATATATATATAATATTGTATTATACATATTTTTATAAAATATGTTTATATAATTTTTTACATTTCATTACATTACATTTTACAATTAAAAAATTATATATATATATAATTTTACAAAATAAACAATATTACAAATATACATATATTTTATTGAAAAATTGAAAAATATATTAATAATAAGTTTAATACATTTCAGTGTTTCAAATATATTTTTAATCATATTTAATAGAATTCAAGTTTTTGTTATTGAACATCCTTTAAAAATTTTGAGAAAACTAAGAATAGAAAGAAAGACATTTCTGTCAATGAATTATCAAACTGATGGATCTCTATGTGGTCCTGAATAGAGTTCCCTTCCTGCTCCTATTTTAGCCTAACTATAGTGTCTGTCCAAGCTGTCCATTCAGCAGAACATCAAACGTACGCGTGGATCAGATCACATTTATTTGTGCACACGCTTGGCAGCTTTCAGCAGCACAGCTACCCATTCAGCAATTTCTGGTGGACATCTTCCAAGTTTTTGCTTTAAGTGGATACCTTCCTTGCCCAGAGGAGAATGTTGAATTATGATGAAAGTGAATCTGAACGTGTCCTCTCTCTAACTCACACTCACAGGAAAGAACAGGACTGAGGCTTGGCAAGGAGAGAGAGAGAGAGAGAGAAGCTTCTATTTTTAGCTTTGATGGGGATGGCAGCGCATCTGAAACATCTAACAGGCACACTGAGGGAGCGTTTATGTGAGAACAGTGCTCAGCAGAAAAGACCGAAAGCTTCGAGGTTCATGTTTAATTTACAGAAATTTGTCTTGCGCTCTAGCACCATAGTTAATGCTCAAAACCACTGCTGATAATTGCTTTAATCTACCACTGATCACTGAGCTAGAACTCCGTAAAATCTCATAGATAACAGTCTGTGTAGTGTGAGAGTCCATGTGGAGGGCGGGTGACCTCTGGTGGTGAGAGAACGGAAGTTTATAGACAGAATTCGTGACAGTTGTAATGTGGTCTTTTTCTGATAATTTAAATCTGTAAAGTACAAGTCGGCTGCACTTGTTTGATCACAATCATGGTTTCTTGACCTTTAAATGTTTTCGTACCGCCACATGACCTAAACTACAACCAAAATGCAACATTGTGCATAGTTGTAATAATGTTTTTATATTTGATTGGAAGTTATTTTCATAAATGAATTGTACATTGGCTCTGTCAAGCAATCAATCAGTGGTCATCTGTTTTTGTCTGTCTGTCTGTTTGTTTCTATCAGGAGTGGCTGGATATGCGGTGTAGAGGGGTCCGCAGCGCAAACGCCTACATTCTGGTCTATGACATCTGCTGTGTGGAGAGCTTTGAGTATGTCAAGATGATCCGACAGCAAATTGTGGATAACAGGTACGGCAGAGCTCATTCAGAACCTGAAATGACCCACCTCAAAGAATAATAATGAATCATTATCATGTTATAATAGATCCAAACAAAAGCAAATGTTTGACATTCCTTTATTATTGTTAGAATGGGACAAACCGTGGTCATGAAACAGCTCAGTAGCAGTACGACGCACATCAGCACTGATTAATGTAACTGTATCAGCTGCACTGACAAACTACTAAATGGTTTTGATGTTTTTAATAACAGTTGGCCCTTGTTTCCCCAGCTGATGCTGAGATAATGAGGTGACATTTGAGAATATGGATGAGTGACAGTTACAGAGCATAGACACTGTCACCATTGACTACAGCTGATAAGAATATAATAGGTGCCTTTGAGAAAATCCTTTTACATATGCAGGTCTTGTACACCATAGATTGCATGCAGCATCATGTATTTGCATAAAGGTCTTATGTGAACAGAAGGAATGACAGAAAATGATCTGCAGTCTCCACCTTTAGCCCTTTTCCCCGCCCACAATATCACACTTCTGTTTTACAAATGCTGCTCGCTTTTTCACTGCTTCGAGGACGCGCCTCAGTCTAAGTGCAGAAAGTCCTTTAGACTATAAGATTTTAATGATCACTGAATTCAGTTAAATATATAGAGATTGCATGGGGATGTTTGATGTGGTAGAACATTGAATACACATGCAGAGGGGGTGATAAAAGAAGCAGCTGTGGTATAGAAGAAAATTTGACAAACATTCTTTTACTAAACATGGACTTGAAAGGTTTAAGAGATAGTGAGAGGGGAGACGGGGGGAAGCCATACTGAGAGAGCACAGATAAACTATATGAAAAGGGGATAAATCAATGTAAAACATGACACAAGCACCCAGACACAGGAATGAGTGATTGGTGTAGGCTTACTAAACACAATGATATTGGTGTCTTTGACAGATTATTCACCTCTTTTATGCTGAAATTACTTGCAAATTATTTTCTTTCTCTCTGTCTATACTGAACACACATATATAATAGCATAAATCCTCAATATCTGACAGATTTGAAATGAGTAGAATCAGAATAAGAGCAGTAGTATGCTTTTTAATATTCAAATTAATAATATGGAATACCCTTGGGTCCTCAATTAAAATTAACGTGTTAAAATAAAGGTTTTAAATATTTATGATATGTAATTTGTGTATGCATGGAGCCCTTGGTAATTTGCTATTATGTAAAGATAGTCGATACTATATTAATTGGCCAGACATTTATTTAATAGCTACATATTCAAGCAGGCTATGTTACACTTGACATTTTCTAATTTGAGCACCTTGTGCAACAGTGAATTGGCAATTAAATTTATTGCACTTTTTTCAGATTAGCAAAATGCACACACACACACACACTTGCCATTGAAGCCCCCTGAACATGACATGCTTTCATTCTTCATTGTGTTTGTGTGTGTGTGTGTGTCTTTGCATGTTTGCTGAAGATATTATCGTGCAAACATGAACAAATATTATGTCCAGCATAAATGTCACCTAGGAAATGGATCAATTCTCATGGGGTCGCTTTGTTTTACTTGCTAATTCCCTCTTAAACCTCTTTTTTATTGCTCTTCTCCCCTGCCATCTCACCTACCTTCCCTCTCTCGTCTCTTTCTGTGTCGTTCCATAAGAGTGGGCAGCAGTAGTGAGGTGCCCATCCTGGTGGTGGGCAGTAAGCGGGACCTTCAGCGGCATCGGTTCACCCAGCGCAGGGCCGTGTCTGTCCTGGTGAAGAAAACCTGGAAGTGCGGCTATGTTGAGTGCTCTGCTAAGTATAACTGGCATGTGCTTCTGCTCTTCAAAGAGCTCCTGGGAATAGCCGTGGCACGAGGACTGCGTCCGAACCACACCTCTATCCGACTCCAAGGGGCATTGCAGAGGAACCGCTGTAATGTCATGTGACAGATATGTAGCCTTTTTTGAATTTATGCTTATTTAGGACCAGTTTGTTTGATCAGATTCTTAATTATCTGATTTTAACTGGTTCTAAGTCAGTATTGAACGCCAGCTTTGCTGTACCACAAGGATGGAGCTTTGGGGACAAACTGTTAATCAAAATGGCTGGAATATTACCACCTAGGGGCCTCTGTAACTGATGCATTCATCTGATGGATTACCTTAGGTACTACTGATTTCACTTTTCTCCAGTGTACTCTAACAAACGGGAAAAATGGAAGCAGATAAGGATTTTTCTTTTCATCTTACCAAAGTCTGTCAGGGTCGGAGTAAGATATTGCATCTGTCTCAAACAGAGTATAATTTGTTTCCCCTTCTTGCTCAGATTTAAATTCAGATGTTGTGGGTGCAAGTGTGACAGTTTTTAACTGTTGCTTGGAAACAGCTATTATGAAGGATGTACTTATCTTTTAGAAATAATGATGAGTGAAAGTTTGTTAACCCGTTGGAATTATCTGTAGTGCTTGTCAAATTTGACCTAAAATATGAACTGATCTTTCCCTATTATATAGTATCAATTCAAAACAAAACAACAATGGAGAAACAGTTGATCTGCGCTTTCTCAGAAGCACTGACTTTAAAATAATCCCTGTCCTGTTACTCATTGGCCAGTTTCCTTTTTGCAATACTGCTTCAGGACATTAATATTGAAGGAGCTGCAGGCTTCAGATCCTGCCACAACATTTCACTTCATAAACCTTATTAATCATATGCTGCAGCTCACAGACAGAAACCTTACCATTCTCCAATTCCATTTATAGTAATTCATTGGGCTGCCTTACACAGACCCTGCAAAAGTGTCAATAATATTCCTACAATGTGGTTGGAACAGCTTTTTGAATAGCAAAATGGTTTTGTCCATAAGGGGGTCGCACACTGGAAAAGAAGCGCCATGCCGTGTCTTTAAAATTTTAACATATGTTTTTCTATGAGTGTACATACACCAGCGGCGCCAATTAGCTACGACTGAGGCTGTGTATACTGGAAGACTGTGTATTGTGTATTTTTTAGCAAATGTTTGTCTTTCTGTGAGTTTGATAAAGTCTGTATGCTTCATATAGAGATATAATGCCCTTTCTCTTTCCATTTGCTCAATTTTTTTCAAGCACCAAACTTTAAACTCAAGGATGCCACTTTGTTCTTGAAGTGAATTCTTGCCTGTTTGGTGATTAGGTTAACTGTTTACCAGTGAGTTGTCCTAGATGCAATGCGGCACTGCGCTTCTGTTCTGCTGTGTGACTGTCCTTCCATATAGTACACCTCTCCAGTTCACCGTTTTATTCCATGGTGGATGTATGAACAAGGCCAAGAGATACCTGGAGATCCTTAGCTGTTATCTTGGAATTCATTAAAACATGCTGACTTATTTCATTTCAAACTTCTTAGCACATTTGCCAAGATAGGTATATCGCAGCATGCATACTATATATAACTGCATTGCAATTTTCTCACCATATGCCCTGCCAAATCAAGTAAAATGGCAAACATCCTACCTCCTAAATATAGATCACTGAAGAAATGAGGCACAAAAATAATGTCTTCCTCTGGCAGGATAGTGAGGTGTTTTGCAGATTTCAGCAAGCATGTACAATCACTGGCACTCTAGAAGCTGTGAGAAGTGATGATAAAGGAAACCTGAAGATTTCTGCTGAACCAGGATGCAGAGGAGGCTTATACCCTTTACTGCAGTGAACTGCAGTCTGTATGGTAGTGGATAACAGCGCAATCCACATCCTCTCTGGAGTATTTCTGAATGCAGAATACATTAAAGTTAAAGTGCTTTAGTGTCTGCAGTGAGATTTGGGTTGATCTGGGCCTACTGATTTTTCTCTGCTAGTGTAGAGAACAGGTAGACGTTTGGCCCAAGCTTCAAATTAACTAATAGAGAACATCCTGTAGATGTACTGATTGATTGGCTGGCTGGCTGTGCGGAAGTCTTGATTCACAGCTAGAGTTGTCACACTGCTAACACCTATTCCGTCACCTACTCTGGTCCGAGGTAATAAACTGTGGAGCATTGGCACACAGGTGGAAATTCGTTAGACGGAGAAAATTGACGGCCCTAGAAGCCGCGCACCCACCCCAAATGCTTTCCCATGACAGAAGAAGGTCATAAGACATAATATTCTCAGAGTGTGCAAAGGAGAAAAATCAACCTCCTTCCTCACAAATGCAACTCTGATAGCCATCTATGCACTTGTACACATCTTACATGACTCAAAAGAGCTAAGAACTTCTGTCAGCAGATGGAAACATAAATAAGTGAGCAACTTGGGTCATCCTTCAGACTTTTTTATCATAAAGAATATGTTTTCTGTTTAATGGAGCTGCATGCTTTAATTGGCAAAACCAAAATCATTCAGGGGTAAATTGCACTGATGTACCTACATGAGTGAGTACAAGCAGATCTTTGTAATAGTACTTGAGCATTGTTTTGTCTTTTTGTATAATGTTAGTGCGAAATAAGCTTAGCATGTAGTTTAAATGTAAGTGATGGAGAAAAAGTCAGGCTTGTGTTATAAAACAGCAGAGAGAGGCTCATACATTTGCATGCCACACAGTGTTGTGCTATGTTTGTGGACTGAGGACTAGACAATGTAGCAGATGTCATGTTCTTGTGGAATATGTCCTGTGCTAGTAATGTTAAAGGCTTTAGACTGAACATTCAGACTTGCTGAATATGGATCGTCTTGGTAGGACTGTTTTTTTTTTTTTAGATTTTAAAGGGCTACCTGCTTTTTTGTAAAAGGAAACAAATGTTTGTTTTCTTTTTAGTAGCTGTAATGTTTCATCAATGAAAAATGAATAAACCCATTCAAACGATGCCTGAGGTATTCTTGTCTTTTGTTGAATATTTCATATATCACTTGTGTCTGGCATCCCAAACCAAACTGCTTGTGCCACATTTGAAACGCTGTGGCGCCATCAATCGGTGAAAGATCATAAAACATCACATGACTGCAGTCTCCATGTCCTATTCTATGAAATACCTGAACACAAAGTTATCTCAATACTTTAATAAAAAAATAAGAAAAGCAATTCAGGTCCGCCCAAAAAACCTGAACACAAAAATGGTAAAAAAACAAACAAACATCATTATCCAATTAATACAGAACGTGTTTGGTCCAGTATTTTCGTTAAAGGGTTAGTTCACCCTAAAATGAAAATTAGTGTTTTACTCACCTAGGATGCTTCGAGGGTGAGTAAAACAGGCTAATTTAAATTTTTGGGTGAACTAACCCTTTAATAGACGGTTTTCTCATTGTCTGCTGGGAGTTATTACATAACGCGTTGAGAGGAGACACTCCGCTCCAGTTATGTTTTGATCCAGTCCGTACGTTTCTTGGCGATGTTTTAAAGTCTGTGTAAAGCAATATTAAATATGTGTTCCGAGTTTGTCACTCCACAGAAAAATGTGTTATTAAACCACCCAAATAAATAAAGTAAATAAAATAAGTTGTCAAAATCCTGACAAAATAAGTGCGTCTCCGCAGTCTGCGCTGAAACCACGCCCACTCGCGGGAAAGCTGCCGCCTCTCTCTCCAACTGTCACACACGCCGATACACCCAGAATGGATGATTCCTCTTCAGTTTAATTGGATTTCCAACAGCCATACAACAGGAACAGGTAATATGAATCAACGTGAGGAAGGCATAGCTAGCTGGCAAACTGCAGGCTGTAGTAACAAACGGTAATGTTACTACATTGCCGTTTGTGCGACCGTTGAAAATCATTTGAACTTTGTGTCAGTACGTCATAAACAGAACAAGTGTCGGGCGCCGCATCCAGTGTAGACATATTGTAAAATAGGTAATTATTTTGTGCGTCGCGGCCGTAGACACGGTGTAGGGCAGGCCTGAAGCCCCGTTCACACCGCCAGCGACAGAGCGACATAATCCCATTCATTTTCAATGGAGAGCTGGCGACTTCCGGCGACACGAGCGACAGTGACCGTTGGCGACGGAATGTGGGCGTGTCAAGCGATGCGAGTCAAGCGACAAAAGTTGAGAATTCTTCAACTTTATGCAAATAAGCAGCGAATTTCGCGAGCGACATCCAATAGGAGTGAAGAATCTGTCAGTGGTCTAGCATGCAGGCAAGACAGGACAGATTTCCTGAGCGATTTCACTGTAACCACATACATGGATATAAAAATGATGCGTAGAAAAAAACCCGTTGGCTGTCTAAGTGAGTTTGATTAATACATTGATGGTTCGAGTTGTTAATTATATGATGCAGTGAGCAGTTTAGCACCGGTTAATGATTTAATGCACGAGCACTGCTGTAGTTTATATAACAACTCTCTCCAACAGCAGAATAGTACTTTTATTTCTTTTAAGTCTAATTCCTAGTCATATCAGAAGGATATCTTAGTTTTACCGGCAATACATATAGTTTGTGATTGGATTTTATATGTCCAGACGTGCAGTCTACCAATAACATTAGAGCGACAGCAATAGGAACGCCCACAAGCTCTTCACAGCACAGAGTCTATAGCGACATACAGCGAAAAAGTTGCTGGCAGTGTGACTGGGGCTTTACAAACAATTGTGCTAACCGTTCTTTTTACAAAGGCTTGTTAAGGCTTCATAGTAGTCGTAAACAATGCTATATTGCCCAATTGAGTACTTCATAATTGAACTTTACATATTGGACAGAACTGAATCAACACTGAGCTGTCTTTAATTGAACTCTTTTTGGCAGTTACATTAAAGGCACTATGTAAGGGTTATTGTTAAAATATCCAGAAACCACTAAAACGGTGTTATACGTTTTGCTGACTTGTGAACTTTATCCAAAATGTTTCGAAGAATGTTTAAACCCAGAGAAAAACAATAAACCAAAATCATTCAGGGGTAAATTGCACTGATGTACCTACATGAGTGAGTACAAGCAGATCTTTGTAATAGTACTTGAGCATTGTTTTGTCTTTTTGTATAATGTTAGTGCGAAATAAGCTTAGCATGTAGTTTAAATGTAAGTGATGGAGAAAAAGTCAGGCTTGTGTTATAAAACAGCAGAGAGAGGCTCATACATTTGCATGCCACACAGTGTTGTGCTATGTTTGTGGACTGAGGACTAGACAATGTAGCAGATGTCATGTTCTTGTGGAATATGTCCTGTGCTAGTAATGTTAAAGGCTTTAGACTGAACATTCAGACTTGCTGAATATGGATCGTTTTGGATCGTCTTGGTAGGCCTTTTTTTTTTTTTTAGATTTTAAAGGGCTACCTGCTTTTTTGTAAAAGGAAACAAATGTTTGTTTTCTTTTTAGTAGCTGTAATGTTTCATCAATGAAAAATGAATAAACCCATTCAAACGATGCCTGAGGTATTCTTGTCTTTTGTTGAATATTTCATATATCACTTGTGTCTGGCATCCCAAACCAAACTGCTTGTGCCACATTTGAAACGCTGTGGCGCCATCAATCGGTGAAAGATCATAAAACATCACATGACTGCAGTCTCCATGTCCTATTCTATGAAATACCTGAACACAAAGTTATCTCAATACTTTAATAAAAAAATAAGAAAAGCAATTCAGGTCCGCCCAAAAAACCTGAACACAAAAATGGTAAAAAAACAAACAAACATCAGTCTATTATCCAATTAATACAGAACGTGTTTGGTCCAGTATTTTCGTTAAAGGGTTAGTTCACCCTAAAATGAAAATTAGTGTTTTACTCACCTAGGATGCTTCGAGGGTGAGTAAAACAGGCTAATTTAAATTTTTGGGTGAACTAACCCTTTAATAGACGGTTTTCTCATTGTCTGCTGGGAGTTATTACATAACGCGTTGAGAGGAGACACTCCGCTCCAGTTATGTTTTGATCCAGTCCGTACGTTTCTTGGCGATGTTTTAAAGTCTGTGTAAAGCAATATTAAATATGTGTTCCGAGTTTGTCACTCCACAGAAAAATGTGTTATTAAACCACCCAAATAAATAAAGTAAATAAAATAAGTTGTCAAAATCCTGACAAAATAAGTGCGTCTCCGCAGTCTGCGCTGAAACCACGCCCACTCGCGGGAAAGCTGCCGCCTCTCTCTCCAACTGTCACACACGCCGATACACCCAGAATGGATGATTCCTCTTCAGTTTAATTGGATTTCCAACAGCCATACAACAGGAACAGGTAATATGAATCAACGTGAGGAAGGCATAGCTAGCTGGCAAACTGCAGGCTGTAGTAACAAACGGTAATGTTACTACATTGCCGTTTGTGCGACCGTTGAAAATCATTTGAACTTTGTGTCAGTACGTCATAAACAGAACGAGTGTCGGGCGCCGCATCCAGTGTAGACATATTGTAAAATAGGTAATTATTTTGTGCGTCGCGGCCGTAGACACGGTGTAGGGCAGGCCTGAAGCCCCGTTCACACCGCCAGCGACAGAGCGACATAATCCCATTCATTTTCAATGGAGAGCTGGCGACTTCCGGCGACACGAGCAACAGTGACCGTTGGCGACGGAATGTGGGCGTGTCAAGCGATGCGAGTCAAGCGACAAAAGTTGAGAATTCTTCAACTTTATGCAAATAAGCAGCGAATTTCGCGAGCGACATCCAATAGGAGTGAAGAATCTGTCAGTGGTCTAGCATGCAGGCAAGACAGGACAGATTTCCTGAACGATTTCACTGTAACCACATACATGGATATAAAAATGATGCGTAGAAAAAAACCCGTTGGCTGTCTAAGTGAGTTTGATTAATACATTGATGGTTCGAGTTGTTAATTATATGATGCAGTGAGCAGTTTAGCACCGGTTAATGATTTAATGCACGAGCACTGCTGTAGTTTATATAACAACTCTCTCCAACAGCAGAATAGTACTTTTATTTCTTTTAAGTCTAATTCCTAGTCATATCAGAAGGATATCTTAGTTTTACCGGCAATACATATAGTTTGTGATTGGATTTTATATGTCCAGACGTGCAGTCTACCAATAACATTAGAGCGACAGCAATAGGAACGCCCACAAGCTCTTCACAGCACAGAGTCTATAGCGACATACAGCGAAAAAGTCGCTTAAAGCCCCGTTCAAGCTCCGTTAACCCTGCTAGCGACTTTTTCGCTGTATGTCGCTATAGACTCTGTGCTGTGAAGAGCTTGTGGGCGTTCCTACTGCTGTCGCTCTAATGTTATTGGTAGACTGCACGTCTGGACATATCTTTAGAAAATGCAATCACAAACTATCGCCCAAAAATGAAAATTAGCCCATAAATTACTCACCCTCAAGTCATCCTAGGTGTACATGACTTTCTTCTTTCAGACGAATCCAGTCGGAGTTATATTAAAAATATACCTTTGATCTTTCAAGCTGTTTCATGGCACTCAGCGGGTGTTGCATGCATCAGTCCAAAAGCACTTAATTAAAATGTGCCCATCCATAAAAGAAAGTGTCTCACACGGGGGAGGGGGTGAACAAAGGCCTCCTGTAGCGAATCGATGTGTTTTTGTAAGAAAAATATCCATATTCAAAACATAATAATCACTTTAATCTAGCTTGCGCTCACTGTTGTACACAGGAGGCAGTTCCGGGCGGATGACGTAAAAGTTACGCCTTCTTTCTTTGCGTGAACATTTGGGCTGCGTTATGCAAATCTTCCCACATAGTGAGGTAGATATGTGGGGGCGTGTTCGAACGAGCCGCTTTAGGTAGGTGTGGCTGACTCTTAACTTTTATAAAGAATATCTCTTTGGATTTGAGACTTTAGTCTTTGCAAATTTACAGATCTTCTTTATGCACCAAGAGCTTGTAACACTCCAAAGAGAAAGGAAAAAATGAAATCGCATCATATGACCCCTTTAATACATAAAATAAATACTAGAATTGTCTATAACATATAGAACTGTCTATAATAGTAAGCATTTTAAATACTCTTTATTGTCGAGCCCATGTTTTGTGTCACTCAGTACTTATTAGTATGTAATTCACGTGAATAATGTAGAGTAAAATGTGAGCGACTGGATGACAAACTATGAGCGTATGTAGTGCGCGGGTGATTTCGCTCTCATCTCGCGACAGTGGTCGTCGCTCCTGCTCTCCAACTCGCTGCTTTTAATGTCTCTGTCATCGGGGAGAGAAAGGGGGGAGTGCGCTGTTTCTCTCTCCCTGCCCCAGACCCTCCTCCTCCTCCTCTGGTAACCCGTCCATCTCAGAGCATCGGCGGTGAGTTTTATGGGGAGAGTGGCCGCTCCCTGCAGCGGCCCCGGCAGGATCGTGTCCTTTCTCACCGCAGTTCCGTGCTTACCCTGCAAACAGCAGCGGCGGCGGCATCATCAGTCTGCGGCAGTGGACCGGGGCAGGAGGAGCATGAGCGAGCAGGGCAAGAGTGCCGCGTCCACGCCAGCGAGCGGGACACCAGCCCCGGGCTCGGACACCTACAAAGGCTGGCTCTTTAAATGGACTAACTACATCAAAGGTTACCAGCGCAGATGGTTCGTGCTCAGCAACGGGCTGCTGTCCTATTACAGGTAAATAATGCGTCTTCCATATGCACATGTGTTGATGTCATTCATTTAGAATGCAATATATGCATATTTTTAGGCTACACTGGGCTATGTTATAGTATGCTGTTGTGTGGCCGACCAGTGTAGGCATCTGTCATGTCAAAGCAGGTCATGAATGCTGTCAAAACCACTTCATGAGCGCGTCTCTAGTGTGGACAGATGCTAGTCCGCCTCTAAAAACCATCTCCCCACTTTACCACCGGGTGTTTCTTTTTAAAACAGGTCCTTAAATGTCATTTCGAGCGGATAAAAGCCTGTCTCTTATTAAATGACAACAGTACGCTGTTTTTATTAGCGCGTCAGCTAGTGCTTATGCTAACGTCAACTGATATTCTCGTATAGCGATGCTGTGTGACGCTTTGTGAGAGTCCTTGCACTTTAATATCTGACAACCTACTTTTGCGTGTGTATGTGGGCGTGTCTTACAACTTTAGGTTTGATCATATATATATATGGCTTGTTTTTATGGTGAACTTGGTCAACAGTAATTTATTCAGGTCCATATTCAGCCTCTGGCCAGCTACAGATGTGTTACTTAGCCAGCGTTAGCTTTAGCCAGCGTACACGCAACGATGTAAAACATCCCTTACAAACATTTACCATGGTAACCAGCTTCCCTTAAAACATAATATGGAAAATAAATATTTTTAAAGCCAAATTTTCGCATATTAATAATTAATTAATTTATATATGTTTTTGTGATCCACGAAAAAAAATACACTCTTTCTTTCTATATATGTATGTGGCTTTATCTGTATACATATGTGTGTTTGGGACAGACCTAGATGCGGTAATGCAATACACACACACACACATCACATAGCATAACTACACTCGGATTATTGTTTTTTTTTTGTTTTGTGACAGCATCTTGAATGACAGGGGCTGAGATATCTGATGTGACGCTTATGTATGCAGTGATACAGTATCTTTTTAAAATTTAAACCACCTTCACGTGTCACCTGTGAGCTTGGCCAGTAACACCTGTTGTTCAAGAGGCCCTTGAGCCAGCAATGGTGATCATGTTTCTCCCCTTGTGTCAGGTGGATCACATGAGGTAGCTGTCACAAAAAATTCTAATTACTGCTGTCTTTTAATTACTTAATTAGTGCATCTAGGTCTGTCCCATAAAGCCCAAAACACACTGCACGATTTTAGCAATCCTGTAATATCACTGCATGTCACACTGTGCAACATGGATCTAATAAAGTTGGGTAGGACATGTGTGTAGACTGTACGATGATGACACCTGTTGACTCGTTCGCTACGATGGACGTTCCTATAGAAGAATAGAATGTCATCAGCATGCGCTAGTGGTAAACAAAAAGAGCATGATAAATCACACTTTAGCAGTTGTATTTTTTGTGTGTGCTGAAAAAAAGTGGAAGCGACGAAAGAGGAGGGGATAAGAGCTAGAGGTATGCAGTTTTATGTTTTAGCGCCATGTCGCGTTGATTTCATGTCGCATTTTTATTGGTTGGTCAGTAAACGTGGATCGTAACAGCAAACACATGGTGCAATGATCATGCTGTATCGTAGGCTATCTTTGGTCGCAAGACCGTGACTATGGATGTCTTTGGACCTCTCTCACTGTACGACACAGGACCACCGATTAGGAGACACGATCACAGAAAGCGCCACGATTGTTTCACGATGCCAATCTTTCATCTGGGACAGCCGAAAATCGTGCAGTGTGTTTAGGGCTTAAGAGAAGCGTTTAATGATTTAGTCGAGCATAAATATTGCCCATTGAAATGTATAAGTGATTGCTCATTCATACAGGAAAAGGTTAATATATGTGACCCTGGACCACAAAACCAGTCATAAGGGTAATTTTTTTAAAATTGAGATGTATACATGATACTGTATACATACAGTGGGTACGGAAAGTATTCAGACCCCCTTAAATTTTTCACTCTTTGTTATATTGCAGCCATTTGCTTATACCCCAGCGACTTAAGACTGGTTTTGTGGTCCAGGGTCACATATGTTCTTTGAGCTATAAAGATTATAATTGTCATAAAGTATCCTACTGCTGGTGATTCTGCAGTTTCTGAAATATTGCATAGCACTGCCCTTGGGATTATCAGTCTCTGAACTTTCTTTTAGAATTTCTTGCCCCATATTGACAATGTTGAAAATATTGCCAGTCTACATTGTTTCCAACAAGTGCATGTTGGACTTTCTCCCAGTTAAAGGAGGAGGAAATGGACTTCCTGCAAAAATGTATGGGAAAAATCGTAATTGTCATTATCACAACTGTAGACTGTAACGGTGCTTTTCCACTGGCACGTAGTGAGCGCAGTGGAGCAAGTATTTTCAATTCATTCCTATGGAAGGGGAGCTTAAACGCTCAAATGGTACATTATGGGATTGAAAGCGGCACCGAGAAAGCGTTGAGAGCAGCCGAGAGCATCAAAAAGGTTGGGCATTCCTCGACTTTATGCAAATATCGAGCGAAAAACGCAGGGCGACAACCAATCGCTGTGAAAAGAAGAAGATGAATCGCAAACAGGGTGTAAACATTAATATTGTTTTTAGAGGCGTGCTCTGCCCTAAATTTGACACACCCCAAAGCAGTGGCGTAGCATTGCCAGCAGCACTGAGCGCAAATTTGACGCTGTAGTGGAAACACACCGTAAATGCAAGTCTTACGGTGCGTTTCCACTACAGCGTCAAATCTGTGCTCTGTGCCACTGGCAATGCTACAACACTAAAGCAACCATGTTTCCGGTCGCTTTCAATCCCATAATGCACCGTGTGAGCGCTTAAGCTCAACTTCCATAGGAATTAATTGAAAACGCTCGCTCCGCTGCGCTCGCTACGTGCCAGTGGAAACGCACCGTTACCTTGCAGCCCTTGCAGTTTTAAGAGCCAATCAGCTGTGTTTATTCTAGAATGTACTTTCGTGTTTGGTGGAACAGCCTGAAAGATTGAAGATAAAGGAGCAGAATGTAGGATAGCTTTGTTGTCAGATTTTATTGCTTATTTGTAATATATTTTAACATAATATCAACCCATCATTTAACAAATAGTTTTGAACATTTTCATATTTTTCTGTTCAGGTTGATACACAGAACATACAGTGCCTTCAAATGCACCTGGGAAGCTCGTACCTTCCAGTCAGGCGTTCGTTGTTATGACATATTAGGCCTGGGCGATAAAACGGTATCGATATTTATCGACGGCACACCTTCGATATAGTGCACGATATAGGCACGTGCTATGAGTGACGCAGACAACACACACAAACACGAACATGAGGGCTGTGCCTGCCTGTGATGAGGAGATTGTGAGTAAAGAATGAATATTAGTCAAATTTAAAATAAACATTTGCATTTGAATGCAAAAATAGTACAATCCAATGTTAGATGTGCGTCAGTGGCGCACGGGATGCGGTGATGATGTAAGTGACGTTGTAGTTAAATGTTTTGTTGGTCTAGCCCACGAGACGCGCAGTTGCTGCGTTATTCATTCAAAATATTAGAGAAATATAGAAGCTCAATGCGGAGAAGATCTTGATTAGGTTAAAACCGAAACCAAGCCATTCACACAGAACGCATATTCAGCGCATTTTCTAGATGGACAAATACAACTGCTGCACTCGCGTCTCACACAAGAGATGTATAAAAAGCCATGCAAAGTTAAAACAGTTTCAACTTTTAGAAAACACGTCGCAAATTTGTGGAGTTTTATTCCTTTTCACTGTCATATGTTTTTAAAGGCAATCTGTGTGATGGGCGATTCGGCTCTTTGTATTAAGCAATGCATAAATACATGATGCTGTTTTGTTCATAATTGTTTATGCAATTTATGAAATTATATTTGATTTATATGAGTTAATTTAGACGTAAAGCACGTTTTTTTTATAGATAATTACTTCCTTGCGTTGACAGTTTAATGCGCTGCATTAGTTTGCTCATTGCGCCCTCCTGTGGCCTCGGGAGACAAGCCAAAAGTTTAACCTATTTAATCTGCATATAAAACATTAGAAATTAGATATTTGTTTAATTTTTATTTTGTTTTTGACTGTTGAAACAAAAAAATATTTGTTTTTGTTAATTTAAAAATACAGTGGTTAAATGTAAAAAAAAATTCTAATGCTTTATTTTAAAAAAGGTTATAAAAAATGTCAGTAATTATCGATACTGAACGATATGAAACATTATATCGTTGATCAATTTTTTTAGCTATATCGCCAAGTCAAAAACATAACATGCAACTAGTCTAAAGTAAACGAGACATATATATTGTGAACATTAATCCCAAATAACTACATCAGAATTCATTTCTATCACCTCTTTATACATGGTATTACAACTAAATGTATAGCAAACCTTGAAAACCTGTTCGCCGTGAGGCCCCCTCAAAGTGCAGGGCCCAAAGGACGGCCCTCTCAATGTCACATCTCAATTCAATTCTGAGTTTTGCAACCGTAAATAGATCTTTGCTTGGTCATTCATGTGCTCAGAACTTATAATTATGATATTTCGACTCCACTTGAAGGTCACAATATTTACGAAAAAATAGCTGCCTGGGATGTTGCAAAAATAGTCGCCAAGTAAGCTTTATTTGCTTTATGTGCCCTTCAAGTGGAGTCGGAAATATCGCAATTCGTTCTGAGCCAGTTACAAGTTTAAAACGTAGTAGATCATACACTGATCTTTAATTTAGTTAATAACATATATTATATGTATAATATATGTTGTGTACTATATATAAATATGTGACAGAAGGGAATAATTTTCATATTTATGAATTTAGAAGTTTTGTTTTGTTTAGGCTACTTCTGTGTTATGTCTCTGACTTGAATGCATGATGCCATTGAACAAGTGCCTCACTCAGAGATTTGAGTTTCCAAGGTGCACTTGAAGGCAGCATTTTGGTATATCCTAAAACATTCGATCTTTAAAATTATACCTACCAGCTAATACGGTATTAACTGATAGGTATAATGTTGAAGA